AAAGAACAAAAAAATCTTACTTTTTAAATAGTCTAGTTACTCATAACATAACAGAAAACAAATCGAAAAAATGATCGTCTATAAAATAATAAACTATATAACAACTATGATTATAGTCGAAAGTAAATAATTCATATGATTTTTGAACAATTATTTTTCAACTATATGCATCGGTAATAATACAATTGAAGATTTTCTTCGCATTATTTTTCTCCAAAAATAACTCCAATTGACTTAAGAATGAAAAATAAAATTCCAATATGCTTTGGAAAGCAATCATTCTATATTTCTCTTGATCACATTGACATGGCAAATTTTTATAGAAAGAAAAAAAAACAATCATTTCTATGGAAATTTTGATTAATCTTTCATTGAAGACGAGTTACATCAGATTTCAAAGATTTTCAGTTTTTTCGTCTAGCAAAAAAAGATCTGTCAATATTCAAATTGAATTTGTCTTTTTCATTTATTTCTAATTTAATCATTTCATGTAAATTTCTAAAGATATTTTATACGAACAGAATATTTCTGTACAGGAATTTTCTTAATCCGACTATGATTGAAGGTATTCTCTTCATTCACACTCTTATGCTTCATTAGAGCGCCTCGGGTTGGTCTCGTACCTAATTCGGTTCGATTCCAGATCTGAACATTCTCTATTGACTCGGTCCGAAAATTTTCAACCTGATAGATTCTACTTCTTGCAAATCTATCTTCTTTGTGCATCAATGTGACATATTATTTATTGACGAATTCCTAGCTTTTTATGATGAAGAAATGGCTGCTTTGATAGATGTTCTATGAAAAATTAAAGAAAATCTATATTAAGCATAACAGATGTTATCCAAATACTTTTTATATGCAAACATTGAGTTTCTTCTTATTGAAAACACTCTCAAAATTGATTTATCTACAAATTTTATTCCTTTTTCTTTTTCTTTCCAACAAATATTATTTAATTTATGAATATACTCGGTAATTTTTTTTTCAATACGATTCTTATCAAAATAAAGTAATAATTCATGTGATCTTATTTAAATAATAAAAGAATCTAAAACAAAATACTGATCATCTATTGAAAGACAAGTATGTACAAAGAATAAAGAACATAGTCTCCGTTTCTATTATGGAATTATTGTAAAGAATGATATTTACATGTTCTCTTGTTATTTATGATGATTGTTGAACTAATAACATTGATATGATATTGATGTTAATTGAGTTCGTTACAGAGAGTGCCATCAAAATGCTGTAAGCGGCTTCACCAATTTAATGCCAGTCAGCCTGATCCATTATCTATTAAAAGACTCAGTCAATAATGAACTATGAGTTAATGATTCGCTTTTTCATTTTTACTTCAAAATTCTTGAATATGATCGGTCATTTTAGTTAACATTTTTTGACTTCTATTATTGACAAAAGGAAAGCGTCAGATGACATTCATCAAACGTGTTATTTTTCATCGAAAGAGTAAATCAGCAAAACAGCACGAACATTGAAATTTTTTCTACGGAAAAACTTCATCTACACTTGTGGTTAAATTTAATCACAAGTGTAGATGAAGTTTTTGGATGTGGATTAATTGAAAGAAAAAGCTCATAGCAACATTCATGCTATTCTGATTTTTCATTACTTTATCTTTTACATCTTTGTTCTCCTCTACAATGCACTTTTGTGCTTATGTGGGTCACGCACTTTTTTCACTGAAAAGCCTTTTGATGAATAAGCACTATATCCATGATAAGCACGAAATAAGAAACTACATGTGAAACATTGCTAAAGATACAATTTTAAATATGACTTTAATTGAAAACTTATATCCTTATCGTAAAGATTACTATTAATCTTTAAGAGCACAACTATAGAACTATGCTATGTAAGGTAGAAGAAATGCATAGTATTTAGATAATGATTTAATTAAAAAATTTAAATGGCATGTAGGTCATATATTATAGGGCAAAATAGATCATGGAAAATATGTCATTGTGAATTATAATCATTCAGCTCATATATCAAGATATTTCGACAGAGGTGTCATGGTGTGTGTATCGGTGTTTCAAGAATAGCTTAATACTTGAATACTTAAGCTCATCATTCGAATAGTTGAATAATTGAGTATTTGAAATTCAGTTTTTCAGATGTTGGATATTTAATAATTCAATTTAAGTTTTAGGTTGAACATATATGTTTGAATTATTGCCATAATGTACATTTATTTTTCAAATAGTAATTACTTTATTACATGGATTATTATAAGAAAACCAGACGGCTGCATTGTGAAAATTCTCATGTCCTTTATAGATGAGCAATGTTTCATAGTAATGTATACAATTTCAAAAGTAATTTGAGTAGAATATTTTTAAAATTTGAAACTCAAATGGATTTTTTCATTAGTCTAACTTTTAATACTACATATCAATGCTTCTGTAATATATTAATAATTATTATACTTATTTCTCAAAAAGTTATAACCATTTGGATAATTAATCAAACAAATGATATTCATAAAAATATTTCTAGAAAATTTGTAAGTTTTCATCTGACATAATCAATTTTTAATTTCTTTCGTTAATAACAAAAATAACTTCAAAATAGTTCTTGTTTAGTTGTTATATATATAATGTACGAAACTAGTACATGTAAACATGTATTTATCGCAAATCTGTACACGAAACACAATTTTTAGTCTTTTTTTTTGTATAAGCAAGAATTCAATTTTTAGTACTATGTATGGCTATGTATTTCTCTTTAAAAATTTATTTCAATATAAATAAGAACGTTGGAATAGTTCAAAAAAAAACTCATCTATTTTTTTCGCATTCTCAACTAATATTTGTTTGCATTTATATCTATACATGTCTCATAGTTAACAAATGAGCATTGTATATTTCAGTTTTGATTGTACTTTTAACATAACTAGATGGTATATGTAACGGATACATTTCATTCGTTTTCTGCTCATTCTAACCTTTTCTTGCATGCAAAGACGAATATAAACTAGTCAGTGACATGTTCTACATACATCACATGTAAAAGTGTTTCGTAAATATTAAATACAATATGTTTCAATGATGTTAGAAGGTGTAATCTACATACTATGAATATTGAATATTTTGTGACCTATTTTTCTTCTTGTCTGTGTGTGTTTCAGTATATGCACACAGCAATATTCATATATTATTTATGCGTACTTTCTCTGCGTGACACACACTGTCTTCTTTGGTTCGTTGCATTTCTTTTCATAAAGAGATACAGGAATAATTAATAAAACTCTTCATCTGGTGTGCGAGTCATTTGTAAATTGAAGGAAATTGCGAGTTTGTCAGAAAAAAATTGATATGAATGCATGAGATCCTTTTTAACGAGAAAAAACCTATTATCATAAGAGTAAAATTGTTTTTAACACTTGTGGCTATTAAAAAATCAACAATGCGAATGAGTCTGAATTGTTTTTCAACAAATAAAAAACAAAAAAAGAGTTAGTATCTATGTCATAATGATCAACAGCAAACATATACTAAAAATACGTTAATTTCAATTATTCATTCATATAATTATTAAGATAGGATATAAACTCGCTCGGAAATTAATGTCTTTTAAATAACTTTCTTTTCTATAAATAGAAACAAAAGAAACTCGAGTAACTTGTTTGTTTCGTTACGATACAAATTTGTTTTCAGAATACATTATTATTATTAAGTAGATTAGAGAAATATGTTGAGAAAAAAAAAAGATTAAATAAAATATTCTAAGCCGATAAAAGTCATAAGGAGTTACTAAGGAAAAAAATTTTAGTTTGAACAATTTCATTTTAAATATTTTTTTGTCATAAGATGATTTGAAAGCATTTATTTATAAATATAATGGCGTAAAAATTTTCTTTTTCAAATTTTTTGCTCGTTTCTTAGTTCAAACAAACCTTTTTATAGATTTTTCTTAAATTCTTAAGATTTCCGATGATTGTTTCGAATGCAAAGTCATTTCTTTTTTTTCTGACATATATCTATTAATTTTTTTTTATAGCGCATATAGAGAAGATATAAGACGAGGAGCATTATGCTTCGTCTAATCAATAGGAGAGTATGCAGGTCACCTCTTACAAGGAAACAATTTATTTCGATGTTTAGTAATTAAAAAAATGTCATTTATGCTGTTCTCTGTTGCATAAATTTCTATAAAACTGTTTTATTTTCTTTTTTCAATTGACTTAGATTGTTTTCTGTGATGAAAGGTAGATAACAAAATTGAAATGTTGGTGAAATGTATCGTAGTGTAATAGAATCTAGATTTTCTATACATATTCTCAACTCAGTAGAATTCTCAGGTGAAGACATACGGACCGTTTCTGATCAGAAAACTTGGGAAAATTGTAAGAACTTGGCAGCAGGAATTTAATGATCGAATCCTGTGATCGGCTTTGTTCACTTACGACCAAAACAAGAAAAATTCAGCTACTGAATTTATCCTTTCAAATTGCTACCATTTACTTGAGTTTTCCGACGAGAAACAGTGTCTTTCGAGCGAAAAATGTCGGAAATTTACGGAAGCGGATGCCGAAATCATTAACGTAGATAAAAGTAACCCTTTATTCACCTTTACGTCCTTTTCTATTGATGAGAAGATTCATTTTAATAAAGAAACATCTCAAAGAGTTATCACAAGAAGCTGTAATAATCTAAGAATAATGAGCTACATAGATTTTTCTTTCTCGAAAATTTCCCGAACCAAAAGCTGACACTCTTATTCAAAAACAATTTTAATAACATTAGCAGTTCTGTAATCATACAAACTCTTTATTAGTATGAAACTGTTTTTATACAAGTAGTATTTTTGATTTTGCATATCTTTCTGAGTCGAAGTATACAATCCCTATACGATACGGTAATCCTTAACAATTGAACTGGGTCCTATTGAATAAAATAATTTCGATCATTGGATAAGACGTTTAGTGTATTTTCTTTTATTTCAGCTATTTTATACATTTCTTTTTCTTTTCTCTTATGGCATCCATCGAAACACTTGTTTGGATTACCGAACAAGTTAGTATATGTGGATATTTAATATTATTAAGCAGTGGAATTATTGGTTCATGTGCTAATATATATATATTTTCTCGAAAACGTCTTCGACGAAATTCATGTTTTCATTATATTTTTATTGCAAGTATATTTGATTTTTTAAATATATCATTTTCAGTATCAACTCGTCTAATGGTTGATGGATTTAAATTTGATCCATTTGCAGCAAGTTCTATTGGATGTCGAATTCGAACATATATGTAAGTTTTTAATAGATTAATAGAAATATTTTGTTTATTTTTAATTAGAGCATTTGTTGTATCGTTTTGTCCAATGGGTTGTCGTTGTTTAGCTATTATTGATCGATATTTATGTACATCACGTTCATTTTTATTACGAAATTTAAGTTCAGTAAAAGTAGCTGATCGTCTTTTATTTATTAATTGTTCATTATGGTTTTTAATTGGTATTCCAATGTTAGTAGTTTTTGATTCTATTCATGTAAATTCTAATCAAGTTACATGTAATACATTGAATAAAGAATTTACTAATTATTTTTCATTTTTTGTCAATCCTGTACTTTATTTTTTCATGCCAGTTATCATTATAATTATATTTTCTACATTAACATATAGAAATATATGCATTGTCAATAGAAGATTCAATGTTAAAATGAAACAATTAGCATATGTAAGTTTTTCTTTTTTCATCAGAATATAATAATAGTATTCTTAATTCTTACAGATGATTATTATTGAAACTATTATATTTGTTATTTCTTCGATACCACATGGAACTCGATTTATATATATATTATTAACAAATTCAATCAATAAAAATGATTATAGAAAAGCACAAGAAAATTTATTTTATCAAATAAGTCGAATAACATTTTTCTTTAATTCAGCTTTTTCATTTTATATTTATTTTTTATTGTCAACTGAAGTTCGTTCGATCATTAAACATGTTTTTATAAAAAAACAACATCGAATAGTTCCAATTGCTCTTAATATGCGGTATCCAATCAACTCATAATAAATCACAAAAAACAATTATTATACAATCATAAATCATGAACTTAAACTAATTTGTAGATTCATGTGGTCTTAAATAAATTAAAAAGAAAATTATTCGAACGTTGAAAACTTGCATTATACATTCAAAAACGATTCGTATATACATTTGATAAAATCGATCCATAGAAACAAGCTATATTAATAGACTAAAAACGCGTATATAACGCTAGAGCCTTTCATTATAAGTCATGTAGCACCTGATTCAAAATTGAATTTTACGAGAAAAAAAATTAAGTATCGCCGTCATGCTTTGACTAGATGTGCCAATTTTTTCATTACTAATAAAAGTGTGATCATAGTTCATATGTATTGAATACCGTTAAAAACAAACTCTTTTGAAGTATTATCGTTGATCTAAATATCATTCAGGAGTTTTGAAAAAAACAATCTATTCTAGTGGTTAAAATCTATGGCACAGCTAATTTTTTCGAGCAGTTTTTCATACCATAGCCGTTTAGTTTCATATTCACAGCAACAAAAAATTATCTTTTGTTACACACTGTGCCGTGAAAGTTCTAGTCCTAAAGGATGAGAGTCCGTTGAAAAAACTGTTAATGTACCCTTGTGCTCTTATGCATCACATGCGGAACCAGCCCAACTGTAATCCGTTGTTTGACATCATATTAAGTCCTAGAGGAAATCTGGGTGAGACTAAAAAAAAGCTTATTGACAAATCCAATAAGTGGATTTTGACTTGAAGGTTCACCCATGGATTGGTTTCATGATTGTTAGGATATTTTGAAGGGTGTGGGTGTACATGCGGTAGTGTGGGAAAGGAGTCTCTATATCCAAGCTCACCCAGACTAACACTCACACCCTCATCCACACCCACACCCTCACCCACACCCATCCACACCCTCACACCCACACCCTTATATTTTTTCCAATTTCGTTCCACATAAAAAAAGATAAACATCACTTTCGTATAAAATATATATAATCAAGGAAGAAAAAAACATTAGTTTTTTAATTTCCATTAACGAATAAATGAAGAAAAATCAAGAAAATCATCAAAGCATCAATCTATAGCGAACATGAACGTTCTATGTTGTTGGTGATAGTAGGCGATTCTTGTTCATTACCCTGAATTGTCTTTATCTTATAATCATGATGCTTTCCATTAAGTGTTTGTTTATAAGTCGTCAAATGCCAATCATCAACGGGTAATGCTTGCAGTTGGTGCATCGTTTGCCATGAGATAGTAAACCAAGCCAAGCCCAACATAAAACAAATACCTACCTCAATGAAATAGGCCTGTTCTTTGGGAAACCAATTGGCAGTATAGAGCACGAGACTGGCCGGTACAGCTTGACCCGCATTGCTTATAGATGCGAGTAATGTGTAATATGTACCACCGATACGTTCATCACTGATTTGAGCACAGAACCCACCACGTGCTGCGCCCTGTGCATAGACAAAAGCATAATCGAGACCAAAAAGAAGAAAGAGAAGAAAATAGAAAACGGCTGGATACAAATATAGACGATAACCAAAGAAAACAAAAATGGCGATGAATGCACATAAAACGAGTCGAGGAATATAAGACCAAGCAAAGAAGATCAATGGGCGAGAAGTTTGCATGAGAAGAAGAGGTACGCTAATTTTCACTATCATAAGAGGCATCATAACCAGACCCAATGTGTCTCGTGTGATCAAGCCGCGGCTAAAAACAATAAACAAAAGCATATAGGCAGATTTATTCGGTTATTTATTTGTTTTTGCACAAGTATGCAAGACATGCCAATATGAATGTTCTTCTGTAATTGGGCAGAAAACTTACTCTATTGAATCAATATGTGATGAAATTTCATGAATTTACTGCAAGATCATGTGACGTAAGTGATTTTGTGAACAAGAATTTAGATTTTATCGCACTAACCTGATTAATGTGAGATACGTCATAGAAGAAGTGGCCATATAGCCTACATGAGAACCGATAAGAATAAAGCTAAGATGACGAAAGCACTTCTTCTTGAACAATCTGACAATAGACAAATAGGTGCCAAGCAAACTCAAGCGATCTTCACTTTGATCATGATCCTTTGCATTGACACTTTGTCGTTCTCGAAAGAATAACAAAATAGCAAAAGCCACAAGTAGAGAAGCCACACCCCAAAATCGTACGAAATAAGCCAGACTGAAAAGGCCATACGGCTGAGTTGCAATGCCCAGTGGCTGGCGAAGCAATCGATTGGTCATATTGGCCGATTCGAATGTAAGAAGAATTGACGAGCCAAGAAAGCTACCAAATGGCTGCCCTATCATTTGTAAGACTGACTGCCAAATGATATTCGGACCAGCAAACAGTGTCAATGCCCATCCATCGACGCAAATGTCTTGTGTAGCTGTGAGAAATATGATGCAAAAGATGAGGATGGTCAGTTCAATAATACGCAGTTGAACTAGCAACAAGTCAATATGAAAAGAAAGAATTATCAGCATCAAGCCAATTAGAATTTGAACTGGTAGTAACCAGGTTTGTCGTCGACCCAATCGACGAATATAGAAGGCATCGATCATAGGGGCCCATAGTAGTTTCAAACTGAATGGATACATGGCGAAAGATAATGTGCCTTGTTGCTTCCATGTGGCACCGAAGGAAACTAAATAGACTGGTACAGAATAGACTAAGCCCAGTGTGACACCTTGCAGTAGATAAAGCACAAGTACGATCAACATACACAATATGAACGGCGGTCGCGATCGAACCTATGTACGAAAAATAAATCTCGTTTATGATTGTTTTTCAGTTGAAATTTATTGTATGACTCGATTGAGCTGCTCATTTTGACATTTTAGAATCAATCAAGAGCTTAGTGTTTTTGTTTTTGAGTTTTGAAAAGTCTTTCAAATATAACTTCGTCAATCGAATTCGGAACTTTTTCGGGCTAAGCTATAAAGTACAACTGCGAGAAAAAATTGGTTTTCTGATGAAAAGTTCTCTGAAGGTTGGTAACAGAAGCGTTAAAGGTCCAAAAATGTCCACTTTACTTAGAGTCTGCTAAGAATATGTGTGACTCGACATATCTAATTATTTAACATGGTAAAATACATTTAAAGCCCTCTAAGTAAAAAATACCGTTGAGAAATACAAATATGAGATATACTATCAGTGCACGACATAAATTTGATGTTCTTTTGGTTGGCTACTAAAATACTTCTGTTCACTAGCAGTCATCCAGTAGAGTAGATATTTCCAGAATCTTTGACAGTTCTCGTTGAGTGTCGATTAATGTGTTCACGAATGTGAAAACAAAGAGTCATACCGGTTTATCCGTTGGTGCCATCATCAATCGTGATGTTGTTGCGATAGAAGTAGACTAAGATAACTTTACTATAACGATGAATACATGTGTTTGCGCAGTTTGTAAGATGATTTCAATACTATTCCTATCTATTGTTCTCTCATTCTCTACGTAGAGAAATCCAACACCTCATTCATAGCACCATGTCTTTATTCTCTTCACGCATTGCATTTGATAGCATCATAGAGACGCGCAATACAAAGAAATATTCATCACAAACAAATAACACCGATTGTAAAGAGAGAAGTCGTTATCTAGCCATGAAAAAACTTAAATGCCATTGTCAGTATATTCAATGTAAACTTAATGAGTTCGTGAAAGTCTTCATTATGGAACAGTTTGCGTCACACAACGCATGAGGCTTAATTAAAAATGCTTCTTGAATGTTTTGTTAACATTCGATAAGGAACCATCTTTGTTCGTTAAATCCTTAAATTTAAATTGATTTTTATATTGGCAGTCAATAAATAGTCGAGCTGTATTCATGCTCTATTTTCAAAATATTCAATTTGATTCTGTTAGGTTAGATATTCTGCAAAAAAATGCTGAAGGCCACGTAATGAATTTCAACGGTGTAGGTGTGGATAATTGCATACGCATTCATTCTATAGCACACATGCTCACATCCTCAAGAACATGGTTTTTTGTTCCCTTTCAATAGTACAATCTTCCGTCTGCAGCATTGTAAAGTAAGCAAGGAGAAGAATGCATAATCTCTGCATTTTACTCCATTGAAGATGCAGTGATTGGGTGGCTTCTTTGTTTGAATGGACGTTTTTCTTTTTTCGATGATTTCTCTCCATTCTATCGTGAGCAGTTATGCCAACAGTAGAAAAAAGCAACATCAATGAGCAACAAATCTTGTTGTTTGGCCAGAATAAAATGTGTGTGAGTTTTGGATGGTCTATTTTCTTTCTATCGCAAGCAAAACATGTATGGATGAAAGCTTGCTGTCTTCTGTACGATATAGTGTTTTGAAAATAAAAACATAATTTTTTCATGAGCCATTAGAAGTCATTTGAAATGGCTTCAGCTTTCTTTTCTCTTCTCATACTCTTTAGAGTTGCATTAACTCAATGTTGTTCGTAAAAATAGTCACCAAAAGTAATAGGTAAAATGATGGATTTAGAAGTTCTTGTCTAATATTTTACTTTACAATTAATGGTCGAAACTTGATTTTATTTGATTGGATATTTTTGACATTATTGTTTTTTTTTGTATTCTATTATACATTGACGTCCAGATAAGATTTTTTTTTTGTGAAAAGTTGATACTATTCTGTAGATCTTTTCTGCTAGGAACACCATGTTTCTTACTCAAATTCATGTCAAAGAAAGACATGCTATTTCAGCAGACCTACAATTGTTTAAAACTTTCAACCGATCGTTTGAGTCAAAATCGAGTTATTCGTAGATCTAAAGTATTCAATAGTAGTCACAATTGCAGACATAATTGTATATCAGATTAGTGTTTCGAATTTAAGCATTATAGCAAAAATAATCAAATAGAGACTACTAGTTTTATTTTAGCAATGTACGTCAGTTTCTTTATGACAAAACGCTAAAATAATCAACGAGAATTCAAAGGTAGATTTTGTACTACAGAGAGTAGAATAGGTCTTTTTGCATTCAACAAAGGAAGTTCTCAATGGCTTTCAACCTATGTAGCTTTTTTGTTTTGTAAACGATCAATTTACATGTCAATATATATCTAGATTATTAGTATTGACGAAGAAAAGTGACCACGAGCAAAAGTATTACTTGCAATCAAAACATCGTCACCTTACTATGTTCCATTTCCCAGCTCCTTCAGACAGGATACTACCGGAAAATATTGAATGCAAATCCCCGTATTTGGACCGCATAAACTACACGATTCTTGATTGTATTAAAGGATCTCTTGTTGGTCTAGTAGTAGGCGATGTTCAAGAGGCCGGTAATGAACGTATCGACGATCCAATCCATGGTGGAAAATCTGGAAGAAAATCCAATCTTCAAATGGATCAGTGGACTGGTAATACATCGATGGCACTGTGCCTTGCTTCTTCCTTGATTACTCAACGTGCTTTTAATCCGTATGATCAGCTAGTTCGCTATAAATGGTGGTATAAATATGGATACTTGTCACCAACAGGACACTGTCTCGATATTGACAATGTTATGCGTAATTCACTCGAAGAGTTTTGTCGTCGTCAAACTGATTTAAATAGATATTATGGTTATCTTACGGAGGATAAATTAGATAGATTATCGACCGATGCAATTTATCGATCAGTGGGATTTGATGTAAACTGTAGCCGACAAGGTGTCAGTGGGAATGTAGCACTTGCACGTCTTGCTCCCATACCACTCCTCTATTATCGAACTCCGGCAGTAGCTGTTGAACTTTCAGGATTATCGGCACGTCTTACTCATGGTGATGATAGAATAATAGACGTTTGTAGATATTTTGGAGCATTGATTACGGCTGCTATTCGCGGCGAATCCAAAGAAGCATTACTCAGTCATCGATTTTATGACGATCATCGAGATTGGTTTGATTGGAAAGATCTTCATCCAAATGTACGCACTGTAGCGCTAGGATCGTATAAACAAAGAATTGATTCTAAAAATAACATTCGTCCTGCGAGTGATATTATTCAGACACTAGAAGCAGTCTTGTGGGCTTTCTGGACTGATGGTAATTCTTTTCAAAAAGGCGTACTTGATGCCATCAGTCTCAATCATGATATGAAAAGCATAGCACCTATCTATGGTCAACTTGCAGGCGCCTATTATGGCTATAGCCAAATTCCTATACAATGGATTCAACACATGCACGCACAGAAATTGATAACTTGTACTGCTGAATGGTTATATTTTCTGTCGGATCGTACGATGTTTGGACTTGAAAAACAGAATGAAATTCAAAAGTACATGTATACGTCATCGAGGTCGCAATCATCGAACCTGGTCGAGGCCGTAAGACAAAAACATCATCAGCCAAAAATGCTCACCAATACAGTGGAAAACAAACAAGATTCCGGCTTTGTCACTTTGCCAAAGCTGATGAATAGCGCCGTCCGTACCCACAAAAACTTTCATCAAAAGAAACTCACGGCCGGTCATGTTTCTCCATGGGATTGGTTTCGATCAACAAATAGTTGAAAATAAGCCTGGGCTATGTTGCGATAGGACGCTTTCTCATATCAACTCGAACAATGTTCGCCATTAGTAGTTTTTTTAATTGAAAGAGATGTCTTTCTGTCTCTCTCTTTCGTTGAGATAGCTATTCTGAACAATCTGCTTCTCTTTTGCAACAAATAATGAACAGCTTTTCACGTAATTCTTACAGAACTAATATATAAAATATGATTGATTCGTTGTATTTTATTAATTTGAATCCTCCCTACTTTGATCATAATCTTCGCGAGAGACGAAGGAACCAATCTATCAAAATGTTTGGCACAGTTCAAAACAGCTTTTCTCTTCTACCGACTAAGCATTTTTTCTTGAGAATCCTGCTCAAAATACATCCAATAGCTATGACAATTGAAAGCGCACAAATGGATAGGTTTGGTCAATGAATGAGCAAGTGGCTAAATGAGGAGACGTTTCCGTCGTTGCTAGTTTAATTTTCACACTATCAACTATCCTAATACAGACAAACTTAGCCATTGCATATCCCTCTTCTGAAAATGCTAATACGTATTGAGTCCATGGACTATGCAGTGTCACTGATGTTTTACAACAGAACGAAGAAAAAGATGCTCATCATAGGATTGGAACCATACACATTCTGCTATTCGTGTAGATGCCCTAGGCCAATTAGATTAGAAGGAGCATCTTAATCTTTGTTTAGCGCCAGAGTGTATCATCATCGACGCTAACATCTTGTAGGCTGTTTTAAACAACATTCTAGTCACAGATCTGTTGACTTTAGGTATTTCATTCAGATTTCTAATATCTTTTTTGTGAACATTATGCTTTCTACGTGGAGTTATTTTCGCTCATCTACTTACATGTCACTAATGATTCCATTAATGTTTAAACATGTATGGAAGTTTTTAAGAAAAGGATTAGTTTTTTAAAGATACGTCTCACAATACATAAGTACCTAATTATTTTACCAATCATTTTGTATAATTCCATTATTGAGACTTCAATGTATTATTATTAACTAAATATTGTAAAACACGACTTTGATGGTTTTTACTTAGTTTCTGTTATATTCATCTGCCCCTTATCTATATGAGTGAGCCTGTGTGCATACTTTTTCTCTCACTTCTCAAGGTCTCTTCTTTTTAATGTTGCTTTTGATAAGTCATTTTCAAGTATAAAATAATCAACACGCCGTAGTTCGTATCTCATCATATTACATACTTTATTCAACAAAATAGAGATATTCACTAGAAAGTCAAACAATAATTGTCGATGAAATTAGTCTAACTGTCATCAAAATTGAGGTAAAAGAAGTTTATCATATCAGTTGCATGAAAAAAAATGGAAATTACTTCGAATTGTTGCAAACAACTATGAGCATTTTGGATTCTTATGTTCGATAACAAACTCAATCGATAGCAATGTTTAAGCAGCATGCCCGAAAAATAATCGTAATTCTCATTTTATTCATAGCCGTTATTATCTTTACTGTCAGCTCGTTCAAAAAATATCCCTCACACACAAATCAACTGATAATTATGGAATCCAATGATTCTTCCTCTGTCCATATTTTCCCTCATATTGCTGTACTTGTCGAATTTCGTTCCATGGATCGAATGATCAGTGTCGTACATAATGTAAATTATCATATTCCATCGACATGGCCTATTCAGATCTTCCACGGTGAAGTGAACCGAAATTTCATTATCAATTCTACACTAGCTCCATTAATTGCTTCCGGTAAAATAATTTTGACTTTAATGCAAACGTATACGAAAGATCGAACAAGCGAATTATTGACAGATCCCCAATTCTGGAAACATGTTCATGGTGAAAAAGTATTGTTCTTTCAAATCGATTCAATCATGTGTTCTAACTCACCCCACAAAATCACCAACTATCTATCCTATGACTATATCGGTGCACCATGGGATCCATCATGGTTTAAGATTAGTAAGACAAATCTTGTTGGCAACGGTGGATTCTCACTGCGTAGTCGTAGCAAGATACTTGCCCTACTTGCACTTGTTTCATACCACCGAAAGGTGCCTGAAGATGTTTGGTATGCATTGAATTTACATCGTGTCAATGCAAATATAGCTTCAGTAGCTGTAGCAAAAACATTTGCTGTTGAAACGGTTTATTATGAACGACCCATGGGCGTGCATCTATCAATACTGTCGTGTCATATACGTGCGAACTTGACTCGAACGTGTCCAGAAGCGTTAATGATCATGCCGCCTGGGTGTTAGTATTAAGTAAAATATAAATGTAAAATCTTTTATACATGTTTGAATCATCACACGTAATAGAGCGAACGAAAATCTACATATGCCTTATAGAGAAAAGCTTTAGATGCTCTAGCATCACTATGTTCACTGTTAATACATTGGTTATAAATTGGTAAGTGGATTCTAGTATCTACAACACTTGATGAAATTGTGAGGTCCTATAGAGGGTGTGGGTGTGTGTCATCGTTTCATTACTAACACCCACACCCACACCCTTGTGTAGCAGCCACAATCTACTTATGCGTTATTCTTTGCTGAAGACCGCATCAACATTCAAAATCATCAAGTCATTATATTGAAAATTCTTAACTCACAAAACTAGGTCGTACTGGAAATATTCAGTATAACTGCTTCATCATCGTAGATGATCGTTCACTATTAAAGATTTTACTTTATTTAGGTAGTAATCATTTGCATAAACTGAATTGCATTGTAGCTAGACTTCATTTGAAGGATTCACTACTATTCAACACCAATCTGATGTGATATCATGATAGTTTTTTGTCGAAAAAAACAAATTACTTTCTCTTTTGAGATATAATAGAAATTCAAGTCTTTAGTGATTTTTGAGAAATGTCTCAAATACTTGTCGACAAACATGTCCATGACATGTTTTCACTTATGAACTCTCTGTATTACAATGATAATAAAAAGGTTAAAAAATTTGAGAGGATATTTCAGAATAAAAAAATCTTCGGTTCTACTATTAGACATCATCTAAGATGGCCTACAAAAAAAAAGAGTCAAAAGGTAAATGTGAAAACCGATTGAAACCAGTTGTTGTGATTTCGATGAACGAGACGTTAACGTGTGACCACCAGATTGATTGGTTACATTAGAATCTCGATTACTCATCTGGCGTTCGTAAGAAGTGGCCATGATTTCGACAAGATTACCAAATGGATCGAGACAGTAGACCGCCTGATAGATCTCTCCAGAAAATACTGTTAGAACAGGACTAAGCTGTTTGCCACCGGTCGCTACAATCCTACGAACCAAATTTTCAGGTTCAGGATCTGTCACACAAATGTGAAAAAGACCGGCACGAGAATATTCAAAACTACTTGTATTCGGACGTTGTGTGGGTGGATCAATAAATTGAAAAAGTTCAAAGCCGACCCCATTTCCTGCCGTCATATGAGCCATTTTGACGCGTTTCATTTCGGGGGGAAACATTTGTGACAGAAGAATTCCCATATCGGTTGAATTGTCAACAATAATGTCAACTGGAGCAACTAAAACCGCGAAGCCAAGCACTTCACGATACCATGTCAATGTAGCATTAATGTCAGTTACAGAGATACCAATATGATTCATGGGACGTGCATAAGTAGTAATCTGTTCAGTTGCTGCAATAGAAACATGACAAAAATTAATTTGATGAAACCTGACTGATTTTAGCAATGTTATTTATATTCATTAATTCGACTTGTATCATTGCACTAAAGTACTTAGTCTCACTAGAAATTTTATAGTCATCTTGCATATATGTTCTTTATCTATTTGGGTAACAGATAAAAATGAAAAAACACATTTCATTATCAATCATACAGTTGACAAAGAATTAAGGAGCACTTTAAGTAAGCTCATGTATTCATCTCTGTCTTGAA